TACGTACAGTACATGTAGTACATGTATATTATTCACGTGATCTGAAAAAATTTTGGGTGGTGAATTTACCCCGGTAATTTTGAGGGTCATGATTGACAAGGATTCGATAAAAATTACCAAAATCGGCCATATGCCACGAATATGCAACAACCCATTTTTAATATAGATCACTTTATATATTAACTTAATGGATAGAGAAGTAATAAATTAGTACGTACTTAAAAATATAAACGAAAGTTGTGAATAAATAAATAACGTAATTGTAAATATTTGTAGTCAAAGAATTACAATGGATTATTTTGATGTAAACAAATTAATAGTACAGTTGGTACGATAATACAGTATAAGATTAGCACTAATTAAATTCGTATGATTAGCTAATGTAAATCAATTGCCCGGGTAATTTATTTATATACCTTAAAGTGATTTTCGGGAAAGTAACGTTTACTAGCAAAAAATCACCGCAAAAACCATTTCTAACTGTTCATCCTCACTATACAAAAATCATCAAAAATAATTAGTAACTTAGTGAGCTTTACCCTTATGAAAAAAAGATTGTGTAAGTTTGGTATAATATTTGTGTTATATGTGTGAAAAATGTCTAAAAAAGTGCCATTATGTTAATTTTTTGGTTTATTTCAAATAAAATAAAATTAGACAAAAAATTATACAAAATGGTACTTTTTTAGACAGTTTTGCACATCTAACACAAATATAATACAAATATTGTACAATCCTTTCTTAGAAGCGAATATTTAACTATTTCGTTACTATTAATAGTTATATATATAAATACTAAATGCGTGGAAAGCCCAACTTAAAAAGACGATCAGACATTTAGTGTAAGTTTTAGCCTTAAAGAATTTATACCTTATAAACAAAGGATTGTGTAAAATGTGTATAATATTTGTAAAAATTTCGTTTCTAGTAAGCATTAAATTTTTTAAAAAATTAGGATTTGATTGGTTAATGTTCACGGGCAATCACAGGTAGATCTATAAAATTATTTTAATGCCCCATTTCCATGCCCCGTCCCGATTGATGCATAATAAACATAATCACATGACTGACCCTAACTATAATTTCCAACGATGTTGAATGTTGACACCGGTGATCCTAACGACTATAACAATAGCATCCAATTCTATACGTTCTTGAACCAACGTTCGACTTAGACGAAAGAGGCGGTTAGATTTGGCGAGTTTGGTTGATTATTTCTTTTTTCTATCACTTGCGCTAACTAAACTTTCTTCCTTATACCACGACCAATTCGGTATGTTGAATAGCCGGAAACTCTTCGTGAGATAATCTACTTCTGAACTCAATAACTACGGCTTTACCACTGTATGTTGGGTCTAAACTGGAAGACAACTTCTAAGTCACATGCCCAAGGCAAAGACGAAAGAAATTCTACCTCACAACGCTCAATAACGGGACAGAATATGTGACAGTTAAATTTTACTATAGCGTTATAGGTTAGTTTTAGGACACTCTGTAGAGAATACAATGTACAACTTATAGAGTAGTTTATTTGCAAGGCACGAAACTCTCTTTATTATGGGCGAAAAGCCGAATATATATATTGTTATGTACATATGCATGATTTTATCCAATAAAACCCATTTCTCTAATGTATCTGATTACTCTAATTCATACCGTATAACCCATAAATCTACTTTCTCTACTTATCCTAATAAATCTAATAAATCTAAACTGGATTAGTGATATATCGCTGAGAACTCTATATTGGAAGAAGATCTCCACATCAGATCGTGCGTTTCAGGGTTTAGCTATCAGGGGCACGAAAATTATGGGACGCGAAAATAATATTGATAAAAATTAACCAAACCGTTTGAATGATGATCATCATTCTACAATCGTTTGTGATTGTGACGAAGATAAGCGCTTCTATTATGCCAAAAAATCTTTTAAGTTCTGATAGAATATTTTAGAGATTGGTCAGGGTTTATTCTCAAAAGATCGCTTGACGCTCTTACAGGTAATAGATGTATTTTAATGTGTCACAGTTGATTGCGATTGTGGCGCAATAAAATACTTCAATTAATGTAAGAACGTCAAACAATCTTTTGAGAATAAGCCTTGACTAATCTCTAAAAAAATGACCAATCAGAGCTCAATATCAAAGGATTTTTTGACGCAATAGGAACGATGATCATCACTCAAAGGGATCCAGAATTTTGCAGGATTTTAGAGTTCCAATCCATTATCCGTTTATTCGAATAATTAGCAGATATTCGTTATCCATTATCCAAAGTATCCGATCTGAAATTATCCGGATATCCATTTAACAGCAAAGACAGTTGATGTATGCAACTAATCCGACACCTGGTGTGCAACACATAACATAATTAGTTTATGTGTTGCACACCAGGTGTCGGATTAGTGTATAACATAACGGTCTTTCCTGTATATCCACTTACTATTGATATCCGAATAATTATCCGAATATCTGTCAGATTATCCGGAGATTTTGTTTATCCGATCAATTCAGATATGGATAAATTATCCAGAGTGGAACTCTACAGGGTTTGAAACTTAATACGCGAGTATGTGTAATGAAAAAGATCTTTTTGTTGGATAGTTTGATATATTTTTTATAAATTAAATCATCTTTTATGTAATATTAGCCTCCATTCTATTCATTCAAGATGTTAGGAAATATTGAAAAAAGATTATTGGAATTCTGTTTTTAATCTAAGATAATGCTTCGTGAAATCGATTTTATCGGTCATAGGAATAATGTCACTTTTGTATTAAACCAATTTTTGATTTTAAATAATTTAGAAACTTTGAGTGTCACAACACTCATTTGATCGATAGCGTGTTTCAAATATTTGCCTTGAAATATATATATTTTTTTTTACCGAGAATATCAACAAATTCTATTAATCAAAATGGTCAAAATTACTGTAGAAAATAAAATTCCATTGATTTTAAATCTGAAATTCACTAGCGTTACTTTTTATGTAAATTACCGTAATTAGTTGAATTAATTTCCTATAAAAAAGGATTATGTAAAATTTGTATAATATTTGTATTAGATGTATGAAAAATGTCTAAAACAATGCCATTCTATCTAATTTTTGTTTTATTTCAGATAAAATAAAATTAGACAAAAATTAACAGAATGGCACTTTTTGGACATTTTTCTAGTGATACGGGCCGATGCCAAACGCTTGGGCCGACCCGGCCGACAAAAATTCTCGGCCCGGTCGACCGGGCCGACCATATTATTAAAAAATTGTTAGTCAAACCAAAATCACGAAACAGTCTTATAGAACGATCTCCTATCGGTAATTTCGGTAATTTTTCGGTAATTTTACTAAACAAATTACCATATCTCAAAAAATTCCCGACAACCACGCTCGTGGTTTATGTTGTTTGACTGTCTACCATCTCAAAAATTTCCGACATTACACTAACTTTTCATTTTAGGTAGCGTTCCCCGGTAATTTTGACCAATCAAAATTTAAGATCAGGTGTCAAAACAAACGTGTTTTGTTTTCTGAGTAAAAAAGTTACGTGTAAAATGAAAACCAAGAAAACCGTGTTATTGTCAGGGTTAGAATTTGAACAATATGGCGCCTATTAGTAAACGTCACGAGGAACATTTTTAATTAGGCCGCAGAAGGTGGTTTCCTAGTTAAAAATTAGTGTTATTCTTATTTTTTGTAAAAAATTGTTTTATTTCGATTTTTACGTTGCACCCGATCCTGAATTTGATTGATCAAAATAACAGGGGTGGACAATTTTTTGTGGGAGAGCTAGAGGCGTCTTTCTTTTCTTTGATTCTGACTAAATGCTGGCCGAATCTTTGATTAATTCCAATCTAATTTGATAAGTTAGCCAAAAGTTCTGGTAACTTACATCAATTATCTCGGTAACTTACCATTTAAAACCCTAACTTAACTTAGTCGGCCCGGTCGGCCTGTGAAGGTGTGGGTCGACCCTCGGCCCGCCCGCCCGCCCGGCTGATGGGTCGGGGTCAACCCGTATCACTACATTTTTCATACATCTAACGCAAATATTATACAAATTTTATATAATCCTTTTTTTATAGGGATTTTCTAACTGTTTAAGTGTTAATTTCAATTTTGTTTTTAAGTCAGAAAAACTTAAAAAAAAGTCTTGATAGATTTTAAAAAAATGTATAAATATGCAATATTTTATCATTACTTCAATCTACAATTCACTATCTTTTTTACATATTTTCTGAGCTGTGCTCTTCTATCCTTCTTTCTCGTTGTGACCATAACCATATTTTGAGCTAGTCTCAATACCGGATCTATTTTATTATTTCTTTTTTTTTCTTCTTAAACAATAATCGCAATGAAATTTTCAATTTTCATTTGGGTTGTATTGGCTTTTGCATTAACCATTAATGGCTCACTAGTTAATCTTAAAAGAAGACGATTCGGTCAGGAGCATTCTTCTAAAGCTGAAGGTTTTTATAATTGCGTGAATGAACAAGCCCAAGGTACTGGACTTGAAGCCGATGCTGGAGCTTTAGTGAATATAACTGTTTTTGCTCTTTTAGCCAAAGCTGGTCCATGTGATCAGCAAGATGCTGCTGACAAATGTATTGACCTTGCTGATAGAATTGAAGTAGCATTACAAAATAAAACTAGAAGAGATGTTCTTACAGAGTGTTGCAAAAAATATCGACAACTTGAACGTAACACTAATGGTGTTGGTGTACAATCACCAAATTGTACTAGGTATATTATAATTATCGTGTGTGTATATAATATAGGCTTGAATATTTTTATTCATTTGTTCTTTTAAAACAATTATATAGACCACCAAGACACAAAGAACTTGAAGGATTAGTACAAGCTCAAGATCCAACTGGATTAAAAACAACTGCTGGATTTCCAAAAGAACCCGAAACTAAAACGCCTATTCCAACAACAACGAAAAAATCGAAAAGGACTAAATGTACTAGCCAAACAACAGAAAAGCCGAAAAGGACTAAATGGACAAGCCAAACAGCTGTCATTCCGACAACAACACAAAAGCCGAAAAAGCACAAGTGGACTAGCAAAACTTCAGTCACCCCAACAACGACAGCTAATAACGACAACTAATGAAGTTCTAAAAAAAACACAAAAACAACGACAGCTAATTAAGTTCTAAAAGATGCAAAAAAGAATGATACAAAAAAAAAAATGACAGCTAATGATACAAAAATAACGACAGCTAATGATACAAAATAACGACAGCTAATGATGCGATAGCAACGGCAACTAATGAAGTTTAGAAAGATTCTGTGACTAGCCAAACACTCGCCACTATAGCCTCTCCTACCACTTCCATTACCAATGCAGCTTAAGAAACAGAGAATCGTTAAATTTTTTTTTAACCTTTCAAATTTATTTTTTTAAAAAAATACTGTAGATTATCATAATAATCTGGATTAATAC